AGTCAAGTGGGAAGGTTCTTTGACACCAGTTTTTCTTTTTGATCCTGACTCTGCTTGTTCTGCATAAAGATGCTCTTGCAAATATTATATTTTCAGCATTGTACCACTTCTTTATCTTTAATTAATTTTTTTTCCTGATACTCCTTTTCATACTTTTTGAAAGGACATAATCCTGGTGATTCAAAACCATGAAAAACAACTTTCCCCACAAAACTTTCTAGGATTTGACAAGAGCATTTATGTCAGCACAAGAGACAGAACTATCTGTTTTTTGGTGGGTATATATATGAGATTTATTCTAGTTTGTAACCTTTTGTGATGATTTATAAGTAGGATAGCTCACATGAATCTTTCTGTTTATTGGGAAGATCCAAACATCTTATCATAGAGTACAAGCAAAAAGATGCATGGCTGGTAAGAGATGCAGGATGTTATGTGCCAGGTCTACAAAGGAATTTAATGTTCAGGACTGTTTGCTGTCCAGTGACAGAAAACTCTGTGCAGATGGGTTGAAAATGACTGTCATAGTCCTGCCAGACCCAGTCCTTTGATTTGGACTTCACAGGTTGTATGTCTATTTCTGCTCACAGAAAGCCAGTGAAAGGTGACAAGCCATGCCCCAGACAAAGTGCAAAGCTCGGAGAAGTATCTCAGCTGTCAGAGAGAAAGAGATCTGAGTCCTTGGGATCAGCTGCCAGAGGCTCAGCTGGACAGTGTGCTTCCTTTAACTATAATGCCAGTGTCTTTCTGGCTGTTTGCTTTTGAGACCTACTAGTGCTTCTGTCCTCGTAGTACATTCCCAGCACTTCATCCAAATGTCATCAAAACAAATAATATCTGAACTGAAGCCTCACAGACTGGATTATAAATTGTTCTTTTGTAAAGATAGGGTTGGGATGCAGCAGACGAAGACATGTGCTAATGAAGGCTATTTTTGTGCCAGCACATACCTGAAGACAAATGCTAGACCCAACAGGCATAAAGCATCTGGTTTTATTCTGGTGACATATGGCAGCTTCATGACCTTATCAAGAAGTCACCCTCACAGCAGCATAAGCCAAGGGCAAGGCCAATCAGCCAAACGTGGAGGGAATTACAGGTTTTATTATCTTCTCTAACCAAGAAGGTGTTTTGCAATCACAAGGAGTACTCACGGAGCTGGGTAGTTTTGTAGAGGGCAAGTATACAGCTGCTGTGCTGTTGTTAAGTCTCCCATGCTTGTACATGACTGTGCTGTAAAAGGTGAGGCAGAGGGTGAATTACAGGTGATGATAGCAGGGTAGATAGATAGGCCTCCATGAGATGTACACCTATAACTTTGGACAATGATCCTATATATATGGTTTAACTTTTAGGTTCTCCTGTGTGGATACAGGAGTTGGACTTGATGATCCTTGTGGATCATCACTTTCCAACTCAGGATATTCTATGATTATGTGATTCTAATTCACAGGGCTACTCAACATATGAGCCAGTCTGTTGTATTATATTACCCTTCCAATTGATGGAAGACAAAATATAAAGTTGCTGCATATTCGCTCAGGTGTATGAAATTTGTGGATGTAATGAACCAGATGTATAGCCTGACACTATGAGAGATAATGAAAGATGAATAGCAAAATATAACCTTAGCAATCTCAAATAAGCTGATTAAAATCAGAAAGGACCCCCAAATAACTCTGGATAAACAAGTGTGGGAAATTACTTCTAATTCTGTTTTAGAATGGCTTCTTCTCTAGGTGAGAGAAGGTTATTGGCACCTACAGGTACCATTAACACTTCTCAGGGGCAACAGAAATCCATATCTCCTTGATGGGAATAAAGTCATCTCAAGAGATAACCATCACATACTCAGAGAGACACTTAACTGATACTTCCTCAGTATCTGGTACCTGAAAGTTAACTTTTACGGGTTTGTGTGTGCACCTTGGTGCACTACATGAACAAATCCCCTTTAAATGGGCAGTGTGTTAAGGGCAGATGGCAGCATCCCCCTGCAGATCTGTGCCCAGCATCAGCTCTATAGCTCCAGGACTCTTGGCTGCAGAGAGGACAGCCTCTCCACCGCATTCTTCCCCAGCCTGGGCTCTTATCAGCTGTGGCATGGCCCCAGCAGTGATGGAGGCAATTGCAAGGGTGAAGCCACTGAGGCCAGCTGCAGGCGGCACCATTTGTTTTAGTTCTGGAGTCAACTGCGAGGAGGAAAAGATCTAGGGAGCTGGGGCCCTGTCTGATAAATACTTCTCTTTGAGGGTCTTTCCCCTGCTCAAATGTGGCTGCATAGAGAGAAGGCACATGCATGAACTTGCAGCGACAGATGTCTACTTTACTGGGATGTGCCATGTTTGACAGAGTGGTCTGTGAGTTAGCATGGGGCTGAAGAGTAAGCATTGCTGTTTGCTATAAACAAACCTTAGCAAAGTGCCTGTAATTGCACTGTTAGAAGGTTGGCCAGACCTAGATGGTAACAGGGGAGGAAAATAATGCTTTCTTTTATCTGTTCATGCAAACAGCTGGAGACAGATAAAAGCAGAAAATGTTTTAACCTAAGTAAAGATTGTGACTCTGCTTTCCTTTGTTCTTCAGTGCTTTTTGTTTTCCTCCCTCTAAGTTACATTTTTATTTGCAAATGAGACTGTGCATGGGAGAGCTTCTGCATGCTTTTTCTTTTTCCCCTCTTGTTTTTCTTTAACTTAAGGAGACACGTTTTTCTTCTAACTAGACTCCTGTGGCTGCCTCTGCTTCAGAAGTATGTGAGGAACACAGACTGAAGTTCCTTCTGCCTACTCCTCACCAGCTTCCAGAGCTCTGACACAAAGACAAGATGAATATCATCCACATCTAACTGACACTGAGGGAGTAATTTTGTCATAGTATGGTTGATATAAAAACATCCTGAAGCAGAATGTTCAGATTTTCCAGTAACAGAATGCAATAGGATGAGATAGAGAGAAAAGGAAGTGTTATCTTAAAATCAAACAAACAAAAGCTCTCTGGTTTTTCTTCCAGAAAAAATTTTCAAATTCTGGCATTCAGAGTCAGTAATAAATTGTACTGACATAATTAAAACTATTTATGCATCTAAGCTCCCCCTGCAATGCTTTGAGACTGTAGAAACAGAACCGTGCATCTAATCTGATGCCCTGTACTAATGTTTTGGTATGACAGGAAAATATTTCTTTGCTAAGGATTTCAGTTGCTTTAATTCTGCAAATCAAGACCAACCCTATAATGAATAGCCTCATCAAGGTGTCTCTTGCAGGCACAAAGGCTGATCTACATAGGGAGTTATTCCAGTTCAGTTTTTCGTGATTAAATCTGCTGTGGGTGTTATTGAAAGAGAAATAGCTATTCTGTTGCAAAACCTGTATTAAAACACTTTTTTCTTTTGTTAATTGCAATCTTTAATGGCTCTGTATATTTTCTTCAGAGATAAAAAACAAATATTACTTCAGATGTATTTTTACTGAACTATGTATGTTCCTTTAAAAAGTAAAGACTATTTGAAGCACATTATGAGCTGTATTGCTTACAGAATTCTCAGGTATGCTTTATGGCAAGCCAAGATGATTCCACAACGGCATTCCTGAAATTTCAGCCTCTGTTAAATAAAGGCACAACTATTTTCCTCCAGCTGTTCTCTTTGATATTTAAGTGTCCTAAGATGGTCTGTGGAAACAGAAGCTGATGGGCACAGACCAGTTTGTGTGAAATAATGGGAAAAGGACCATTTCGAGCCTAGTGTGTCTTATGTGAAGAGTGAGAAGCCTTGTGTCTCAGCACAAGTCTAGAGTTTGGAAAGGAATAGTCTGAATACTTGCAGTATTTAACATGAATACGTTTTTACACAATGATTCCCTATAAAAGTCTGATCACGAGTAGTCATAGATTTAAAGGCAGGCAACTATATTGTTGGTATTGCATCCTTTTCTGCTTAAGCACTGAATTTTCTCGAATTTCAGCACCAAATAAAAAAAAATTTAAGAATTAAATATATTGCACTTTTAAAAGCTATTAAGCATTTTCTTCACTAGTAATCTTTTAGTCAATAAAATTATCAATCTAATTGTTTCTATGTGGTACCTCTACTTTAAAAGGATAAAGATACATTTTAGGTTTTTCTCTCAAACCAAACCAGTTTCTGCTTTATAAACTTGCATTAAAATGCACTTACATGTTCAAACATCTTGTGTTTTGCAGTGTAGATATACTATTTTTTAAATTATACATAAATCAAGATAACTTTGCCGTAGAAAAAGTTAAGCAAAGCTGCTCTTTGCTGTCATTTTTTAAAAAAGAGACACTCATATTTCTAGGATATGAAGTAAACCCCAAAAGACAAATAATCATCACTTATGTGTTCTTAATATAATATGATTCCTGCCATACAGATTATGCATATATACAATTTTTCTGTAATAAATAAGAATAAAACCTGAAAGACTATGTAACTTTTATAGTTCTTTTTATATTAGAGTTTGAGAGATCTCTACTTTTAAACTCCTCCTTATGTTGACAAATTTCCGTTTGGTCACTCTACCCTGCATTTTGCTTAGAAGATAAAATATAATGACAAATGGTAGATAAGAATCTTCAAGTTTAAATAAAGTTAAACATAAGTTTTCAGAAATGAAATCAGTTTTATTTGTTAAAAGAGTTGTACTGTGTACAAAAGAAATTACCATAACTTACAATACTTCAGGCATAGCATATTGAGGGAGTTTTGCTTCCACTGGAAGAGCAGTATTTTGGAAATAAAGAATCGTGAGAATCAGACATTGATAGCAGTATTAATATAATAATATAATAATAAATACTTCACATTCATATAATCTGAATTTATAATAACCCAAGTATTTAAACAGTAGCTAATACATCTTAATCTCTCTCCAACATGCAGGTAGCAGAGTCTTCTGTAGCTCATAGATCAAATGTATGATTCATGGTGAGGGTAATATCTACCCTGAGTATTTCCCCTTGTCCAATTTCACAACTGCTGGCTACCAGAACTCCAGGAGGATGATGAGCAGGCAAGTGACTGAAAACACTGTTTTCTGTAATCTTAAACCATTAGAATACAGTCCGATAATTTCCTCTGTTTCCGATTTCTGATCTTAAAAAAAAAAAAAAAAAAAAATCAAGGAATTAAAATGGTTAATAAGTAAATATGTAAATTTCTTGAAAACACAAGGATTTTCAACATACTTGAAAAGTTCTCTGACATCTCACAGGTACTTAAGTTAAAGATATCAGCTGTTAAAGCCAATCAAAGGGACTATTCTCAGGGGAGAGATGTAAATAGATGTCCCATCAATGATCGTTTGAGGAGCAACTGATAGCACTTATCAGCTCTTGCAGGCATTAATCTCAGAATAATCAAAAGTAAATACCAAGCAAAAGCAAGAGGAAGAACTTCACAAGAGGTAAGCACTCTAGCCTGAATGTCGGCTTTTAACCCTTCCTTTAACAAGGGGCTTCGCTTTTAGGATAAGCAGAGAAGCCATACCCTCATGTATGTGAAAGCCACGGAGTTCCTGCTCAGGGGACTCTCCACTGAGACCTTTACTGTCTTTTTTAAGCTGAGCTCAAGAGTAGTAAGCAGTAGACTGCTTTTACAGAGGATGGGGAGGCTCATTATGTCTTTTGTTCCTTAATTAGGAAAAATAGGGCTGATTCAAAGGTGAACAGGTAAAGAGTTTAATGAGCAAGCTGTGTGCCACATTTAATAGAAATACAGAATACAGAAAACTTCAAGGAAAAGGTGATTCTAGTGGATTTTTTTTTTTTTGTCTAGGGCTACAAAGGTAGGAATGTCACCTTTCTAATGTTTTGATTTACATCTGAGTTGGTGTTACAACTCAGAAGTCACAGCTTCAAGGCATTGCTACTCAGGTAGGAATCTGGTCAGGAAACAAGAGACTGCTTGGGGTGCAAATGAATCTTGAAACCCTTTAGGTCTGTTGTTTTCTTACCCTGCTAAGTAGTGACTTTGGCACAACTGAAGGAAAGCACAAGATGAGATTGAGATATTATGGGTGGAAAGGGCAAGGATATTTTACCCTGATTTTGCCACTTAAGAGAAAACATCATTAAATCCTTATCAGAGCTCTCAAGAGTATTGAGAACAGTCTGGATCAGTCAGCTCTCCATGGAAAACAGTGTTAGTATAGCAATTCTTTAAATGCTAGTTAATACACTGTTTCCAAAAATATTCAACCATTTATTTAGGGAATTTCACAGGCTGATATAAGAAAGTGTGTTCAGTCTTAAAACTCATACACGAATATTCTGAAGATTGAGATACAGATTTAAAAAAAAAGATTCAGATTACTTTTGTATCATTTATGTATGATGATTGATGATTCTGTGTGTTAAGAAGACACAACTTTTTTCTCTAGTATAATACCAGTTTCTACTTCTACCACATCAGTATACACTGCTGTTTTTTCTCTTTATCTAAGAAACATGTTTGTGTGCTTGGATTTAGTTTAGTTGTAGAAATTGTTCTGGTTAAGTGGGAAGTAACAGATGTAGAGATTTTGCAGAACAAAGAAGTATTTAACCTCTGTAATCTTCAACTAGAATGGTGGGAAGTTTCCTACTGTATGGAATCATGAACATCTGAAAGTGTCTTCTGTGATGTACTGTACAGTCAAGATCAGTGTTTGTTACTATCTCACTAATGCATTCTCTGAAGCAAAGCAACCCACTGCAGAAGTCCAACTAGTGCCCATAGTGCCACTCTGAGTACCCCACCACTGCAGAAGCCAATTCTGTCACCCACGGGATAAAAATGTTTGATTTAATGCCATTTCTTACCACAGCTTCCGCGCCTTACTTCTGAGAGACAGTGCAGCGTCCCATAGCCGCACCGACAAAGCCAGCAGTCCTTCAGCACCCAGATGCCGTGGGGAATGCTGCCACAGTAGCTGTCAACAAGGGAGAGAGACATTCGGTACATCCCTGAGCCCACCACAGAAAATAACCACCCTGAGCACCACACTCCATTTCCTCGGGTTTTGGTCTGTTTTTTTACCCTTTCCGCTCATCATATTCACAGTATCTGCCACTGAAGTGCTTTTGGCAGGCACAAAAGGTCCCCAGGATACAAGTCCCTCCATTCTGGCAGCAGCGTCTGTTCAGTTTTTTACCTGCAAGACAATATTACAGAGGTTAACGAGCATCTCAGGGGCTCTGAACCTCACCTTTTCCTCACTTGCTTCTCAGGTCTCTCCAGTTCCCAAAGTCTCTTAAGGATATCTAGTTTTATTGTCTTTAGAGACAATAAAATTATATGCCTGTTAGGAGTGTTTGTTCAGCTAAACCCAGTTTGTTTAGTTAAGGATTAGAAACAAGCTACTAGGGATTACAGGATGTTGAAGAAGCAATGCTTGGCAAATTCTGTGGCAGCATGTGTTCGAGTGAAATATTTCACTTTGACAGATGCGTGTTTCAATTGCACTAAGAAACAGGACATTTTTACTGGGAAGCAATGCTTATTTCTGAGTAAAGAGGTTTTGTTACTGGGAAGTTACTTTGTCTTGAGGCGGGGACAATGCTCCCTTAAACTTTTCTCAGAGTCCTGGGACTGAGCGCCAATCTAAAACTTATATATACATATATATATATATATATATATATATATAGGAGGAAACAGTATACTTTTTCATTTCCCCCTGTTAGTACCGTTGCTTTCAGGCAGATCAAGCAGTTTTTATAAAATTGACATTTTTTTATGGCCACGAAATACTGTGAATTTTAAAGAATGAACAGAATGTTACAAAATTTCACAGATGTTCTTGTAAACACAAAGGGCCAAACACTTCTTCATTCTTAGTATCCTTGTTTTTCCTTAATACATTTTGCAACTGAGAGATCTTCAGTTCTACCTTAAATTTTTATCACCATTTACTAAGTAAATAGGCTAAGGGTATAATTTAAATGGGTGGCCACAGAAAACCAACAGGCTGGAATCTTTCAGGACAGTAGATAAAGCATTATTATATTATATTTTTTAAAGTAATTTTATGTCATTGTTTACCAAAAAAATACCTACTCTCTGTAATTCCAGTGAAAGGGACGAATGACTTGGAACTCTGCTGCTTTCTACTTTCATAACTCTGATTCATGTCACTGAGCACATTTATAGAAGAGGTCCCGTCGTTCTTGGGCTGCTGCTTCTGTACCGTGGCATTGAGACTTCTCATTGAGACTTCTCTACGTTCTTCTCTTTCAGGACCTTGACAAGAAGCGCAAATATGTAAGGGAAGAGTAGTTTGTAATGAAGAAAAGCACACCGTAAATGTGTAAGAAAAACACGGCGAGGCGGGCAGAAACATGAAGTTTCCCTTACCTTTTTCTAAATGAACAGCCTGCCAGACCAGAGTCACAGTGAAAAGAACTCTGGAAAAAAAATTAAAAAAAAAGACAGAGAGAAAAAAAATCAAACCAGAAATAAATTTGTGCTAATGAGACACAAACACTAAAACGAATGGTGAGTATGTGAGAAGGTCCCCGGCATCTCAAGCAAACTTACCTAACACGGTTTCCCCAGCACATTTTCCTGCAGCCCTGAAATAGCGGTGAGGTGCTGCGGGAGAGGCTGAGCGGGAGGCAAAGTGCGGAGCGCTCCGCTCCAGGCCGCGGCCTGCGGCAGCCCTCACACGGCGGGCACGGACGGCACGGAACGGCGGGACTGGGGCAGCGCTGCCCTCGCTGCCGGGACGACTGCTGGGCTCGGTCGCCACCCGCACCGCTGGCTGAGCCCTCTCCGGGCGCCAGGAGCCTCCCAGGGCACTCCCTGGCCAGCCCCCATTTACATGCACTGCCGAAGGGTGGAGCAAGGTGAGGGCACCTACGGCTGGGGGGAGGCTTCAGGGCACAACAAAAAGCCCAGGGCGGGAAGAGCTCAGGTCCTGTGTGCTTCTCAAGACAGAAGGCTTTGTCCATACATAGGAAACACAAACAAAAAAGCGTCCTACAGAACAGCTCTAAGTGTGTCATAAGCTGAAGCAGGTATATATAATGAAGGTTAAAAAGCCTCAGCTTTACCTACGTGTCTTTCACTGCCAGGGTTTTCCACCAGGAATCTGCTTTATGAGATTGTACTGCTTTGCAGCAGAGATCCTTGGAACCTGCTTTAGAGATTTCTACCAAAAACACTGGAAAAAGCAGTATAAGGTCCTTGAGAGAGGGTTGTTGTCTCACCAGTACTGTTAATAGCCTTTTGAGACATTTTCTGAATATTTTTACTGTTAGTAAAGTTAGGCCCATTAGTGGGTATTCCTAGTCTGAATTTATGCAGTATCAGCAGATATCTAGATATTATTTACTGTGTGTACTGAAATGGGCTAGGACCACTCACATGGCTTTGCTATGGCTCAGTATCATAAGCAAAAAGACCTGCAGCTGGGCAGTGGTGAAAAAGCAGCTCTGGGCAGGCTTTTCCCATCACATTCCCACATTTTGTACCACTGAGCATACATGGCTTTTACTTAAATTGTGGCAGGAAACTGCAGCAATACAACTTGTGTTGTTTTGGAGGGGCATGTAGAAGAGGGATGTTTTCACTGTGTCACTGCAAACCAAGCTAGTACAAGTTTCACCTTGGCTAGACACAAGACCACATCAGAAGTATGGGCCAGACCCTCACTGAAGAAATGGCTGCACCGACTAAAGACATTATCATCCCTTGTTTGTAAGTCCCTGTGGCTGTCACTTGTCAGATTTGCCCCATCTGAACTAATGGTTTGGAAGCTGTGATAACTTCTCATCCAATTTGGTACAAAGGCCGGCTTAATTTACAAAGACAGCTGTCCTAATTAAAGTTAACTCTCTTGGCACTAAAGCAGATAGAGAGTGTTTTGAAGACATGTTCTCCTACATGACTGTACACAGCATGGGTAACAAGCAAGAGAAGTTGGAAATTATTGTGAAATTAGAAAACTATAGCATAGTTGCTATCACGGAAACCCTGGGAAAAGCCATACAACTGGAGCACTGCAATCAAGAGCTACAAGCTATTCAGGAGCTTTTTGTGTCCAGATTGGACACATCTGGATCTGATGGATGGACAGTGCAATGAATAAGGAATTGGCTGGCTGGCTGGATGCAGCCAGAGAGTTGTGGTCAGTGCCTCTGTGTTGAGATGGAGGCTGGTGATGATTGATGTCCCTCGGGCTCTGTTTTGGGACAGGCTCTGCAATGTCTGTCTCAATGACACAGACAGTGGGATCAAGTTGGCAAGTTTCCAAATGACATAAATCTGAGCAGTGCAGTTGACACAACAGAAGGAAGGGATGCTATCCAAGGGCACCTGGACAAGCTTGAGAATTGGGCCCATATAACCTTATAAAGAACCTTATAAAGTCCAAATGCAAGATGCTGCGTCTGGGCTGCGGCACTCCCCAAACATGAGCACAAACGGGGAGAAGAACTTACTGAGACCATCCTTGTAGAGTTGGAGATTCTAGAATATAAAAGCTGGACATGATCCAACATTGTGTGCTTGCATATCAGAAAACCAAGCATGTCCTAGGCTGCATCAAATGTATGTACAACAGACTAAGGGAGGGGATTCTGCCCCTCTGCTCCACTCTTCTCAGACCCCACCTGGAACACTGCATCCAGCTCTGAGGGTCCCCAGGGATCTGGACCTCTTAGAGCAGGTCCAGAGGAAGCCATAAGGTGTTCTGAGGGATAGAGCCTCCCTCCTATGAAGAGAGGCAGAGAGATTTGGGGCAGTTCCACCTGGAGAAAAGAAGTCTCTGGGAAGACCTCATTATGATCTTCCAGTACCTTAAGGGAACTTGTAAAAAGGAGGGTGAGGACCTTTTTATGTGGTGAGATAGTGATAGGACAGAAGACAATGGTTTTAAACTGAAAAAGGGCAGGTTTAGATTAGCTATTAGGAAGATATTCTTTAATATTCTTTACTGTGAGGGTGTGAAGGCACTGGTACAGATTTCCCAGAGAAGTTGTGGATTACCTATCCCTGGCGGTGCTGGATGAGGCCCTTAGCAACCTGGTCTAGTGGAAAGTGTCCCTGACTGTGTGAGGGGGGTTAGAACTCAACAATCTTTGTGGTCCCTTCCAGCTCCAGCACATTCTGTGATTCTATGTTGACATGATCTTTCATGTCTCCTGTGGATACACTGGTCTTCAACAAGAGGACAGAAGAGCATTGCTGAAGATTTAAAATGGCTGTTTCTGCAGGGAATGCTTGCAGGGAGTGCTCTGCAGGGCTACACCAGTCTCAGGGGTAAACCATTCCCAGTGCTCCAATTATTCTAAGTTCAACCATTTTCTTTTAGATACAGTCTAACCCTTTAGCTTCATGGCATCTTGTTTGCTACTAACTTAAACAGATTTAGACGAAGCTATATTCTTGTTCCAGAGTTGTATTGAAGTACCATGGCTTTTAGAATTGAGTCTGTGACATACATTTGTGTGCAATTCAGCTGAATCAGCAACTTTTATCTTAACATTTGTGGGTAAGATGTTTCACAGAAAGTGTGATAAAAATCACATGTTAATTCAAGAAAGGATTTTGGTTTTCCTATCTTAAAGAGCAGCAGCTTTGAAGAGATTACTCTCACTGTTATGCTGTCTGCCTCTACCTGCTGTGATTGAGAAAGGCTTTTAAACTAAACATGTTAAAGTTTAGGTGCTTGCTTAAAACCTATCATATTTTAAAGTACTGTCATAACAACGGATACTGTTCTGAATTAGGACTGTAAAATCTTTCACACAAATAAAAGAGATGTAATTTCTGTATGTATTCAGAAAACATGCATGTATTATCCACTCTTGAAAATATTTGCTTTTGGAAAATACTTACAATTTGAATAACTCTTGTTTTCATTTGAGTTCTCTAACTGTATAACGGGACTGGTATTTTGACTTTAAAAAGAAGAGCTATTCTAGTGTTTCTTTGCTTGTACATTAAGAAAAAAAAATTAATTTTCAGTTAGGTCTAACTGGTAGTATAATTTTAAGTTACAATACTTGAGTGCTTAAATGGTGTAATTTACTATTTAGCTTCTCGTTTCCCCTTTCCATAGATGGAAGGCAGAGAAAATATAAACAGAGATAAGTAAACACAGGAATATAATATAGTGGGGTTTTTTTTATATTAAAATGCGGTGTCAATGCATTTTGTGTCTTGTTTCCAATGTCTCTTGGAGAGTTTTTTGGGTACCTAATTCCCAACCCTATACTGGAGGTAACATGCAAAATACAGCTGCTGAGGAAGAAATACAGATTAATTTTCACACCCTGTGCCATTTGCTTAAGATCAGATGTAATTTCTGTAACTAAAAGAGCTAACAACCTGAGAGAACTGTAGAGCAGTCAGTAGTAAACATTTCTTGCTTTTGGTACCCTGTTTCTTCCTTCTCCCCATAGCCTCACCATCAAGGCAGGCATTGGAATGGGGACAGAGAAAACCTCTCGGATGCTGCTGTGCCTGACTGCACCAGCGGTGAGATTGGTGTGACACTGCAGAAAAGTGCTGCTGTTTGTTGTTGACAGAATCTGCCAGAGAGTGATTGCTTCTGCCCAGGGATTTGTGGGGAGCGGCAGTAAGGGTAGACACACTCCTTTTATCAGCTTTGAGTGAGATAAGAGTGGAGCCAACCAAAGCACTGGTTCTGAGCATTTCAATCAAGCCCTGCATACACAGGAGATGGCTAACCAATCATCAGGGGTGTTCAGCACAGCAAATTCTGACAACAGATCAGGTAGCCTGTATGGGTAAGTGGGCTAGGAAAATGTGGTTCTACTTTATTGGTGCACAAAACTCCTCTTGTGCTCGTACTTGGAACTGTGGGTCTGCATCTTGGAACTGCATCTTCTGGCACTGTCCCAAAATGCAAGTGAACCACTACACTGAGACCTGAAGTGCAGATAATACATGCTGGGTTTTGGTGTATTAGTATTTCATACCAACTGTATTGCTCTGTAGACACTCTGTATTTCTGAAAACTTGAGGATAAACAGATGTCTAAAGACTGGAGGTAGCATTGGAACAATCAGAAGCAAGGATAAATAAAATGTGAGTGTCTCTGCTTTCCTCGGAGCCCTTTGAAAACCTGCTCAGGGTGTGCTCAACTCTGGCCAGTGCTGACTAGAAATCTTTGGATTCCAAAATTCCAGCTTTGGGTTAGGCCTAGATTTCCAATCACATTGGGCAATGTTAAATCAGCTGTGCAGAATATTATGGAAAATAATGAAAATCAATTAGCCTCCATGAACATTTATTGAAATCTTGGAATTATAGACTTCTGTGAACCTAAACTCTCAGTCAGGGTGATTTACAGTTCTCTGAGGAAAGGACAGACCCTGGGCAATCTAGACAGGGATGTCTCAGAGTGTGTTTTACTCATTAAATGTTGAGAATAGTGGATAGAAAGACTTAACACTAGCCAACCTGAGAGTTATTTATTTTTTATGGTCTTTGGCTTGCTGCTAAGGCTTTTGACATCTACCCAAGTGCTTTTTCTTTCTAAAGGCTATGTAAAACTTCAAGACAGTTGAACTGAATGATGTTTTCAGTATCAGAGAACTTTCTCAACAGAAGTTGGCAAGCTCTTACTAATGTCAGGAATTTCCTACAGGATCATGTAGAGGTTGCTGATGTTGCCTCTGCATTTCTGTGTATGCATGCACAGTGTGAACAAACAGTATAAATTACCCAAACTGCTCTTTTCGCTCCATGTTAAGAATAGCTTACACTGGCTTAGTTGGAATTGGCCACTAATTGACTTGAGAAAGTAATATGCAGGAAAGTTAGATAATCCATATTGTGACTGGCACCACTTAACTAGTGCCACAGTTCCATGATGAACTTAAGCAGGATAAATGTCTGCTGCTGCTAAAAGGGGGAGTCCCACTTTGTCTTACACCATGTGTTGTTTGTACTGCCTCTCTCATGCCATCACTGCTGTTTG